ATATTTCATTGAGTATGTGCAGATTAATAGCAACATATAGATTTTAATAGGATTGACATGTTAACTAACAAAAACCCCTAAATAAAATAAGAAAAAAAAAGCTTATTCACTTTTAAATTAAAGACAATGGTATGTCAGTGTATAACTTGACAACAACTACTACAACTCCACCTGGTAGTAAATGGTTATAAAGCCCTAGATAGTAAATTAATAATATTTTAGATTTTTAGGGTTCCATATTTACACACAACAAGGAAACCTTATAGTTTCTCCATGTTCATCCCAACGCAGTTTTACTCAGAGACACTAAGTGTTACAAATTTGTAATTTTGCATAGTTTATAGGCATTAATCATGTCTACAAAACTGTGAAATAAAATCTTAAAAACATTTTTATTTTGGGTACACCTATGCAGGTAAATGAATGATTATTTTTACCCATATATTCCATCCTGTAAGGTATTGTTGGATAGGTATTTCAAAAACATTGCGAGTATGGAAGAACACCTTTACGATTCAGGGGTTTGTTACCGAAATATTAAGCTTTAAAGTCGTATTTTTCATTAGAGTCATGTGTCTCCTCTGCCAACTAAACTGCTATTTTTGGAAATGTGGAAAGTATACTCAATAGTAGCATATATAATGAAGTTAAAAGGAAAACTTTCGCATCAAATTAGAATTAACAAGTTAACAGATTTTTAACGAGTAATAGTCTACTATTTTTTTAGTTGGTAGATATTGTTGTCTCAATCAAAGTATTCATACAATCAAAAAGCCTGATACAGTTTCATTTGTAATACTCTTGGTTTATGCGGGCGACCCTCAGGATAAATCAGGGCAGTTGTAGTAGATTACCTAATCGGTATAGTTTTCGATTGTTACTTATGACATAACTTTAAACAATTTTTAATATAAAAAAAAAGCATATATCATAATAAAAATACATGTGGAGTGTAACTTAATCTTTTTGCAAATTTTAAGTATTTGACTGCTTTATTCACACATATTAATCGCACATATCGGAATTTTTCAAGGAGCACCATTTTTTATTTTTAGGTTTTAATGATTATAATGAAAATACATTAATTTATTCCTTAATACTATAATAACACTTGACTGCCTCATTGGTCTAGTGTCATAAATGCAATTTGATCATTAGATCCCGGGTTTGAATCCCAGTTCTGTCCAAAATCTGTTTTTGGGTATTTCTATCAAGAAATTCTCAGCAGTTTTAAATTTTTAAGTTAGAGTTAAGAAATTGGAAATAGTAATATATAATAGTAGTTTCTTACAGTGAGCGTAGAGAATCAGACCCTTTTTACTGGAAACAAGGAATTTCATGGGGTAGGGGTGACAAGCGGTGTCTGCATTTTGGTTCTTTATATATTATATTATTAATTTAGGTGTCTATGAGCTTCAGCATGCACTTGCCGATTGCACTTTGCTATTGGAATGTGTGCTCCTTTGTCACCTTTATTCTATAAAAATACATATTCTTAGAATAGAAAATATATTTGCTTAAAAACATGGTACATAAGATGGTCAATGACGTGGAACTGATTAATAATGATTGATATTAATCCAGTACATAATAAATCAGCATAGTAGTTGATTTGATGTCTACATACTAATTGAATTGAATTAAAATTAACAACTATTCATAAAAACGTGAATAATTATAGTCTTTGAATACCAAGTCCTTTCACACATGAAATGAATCGTCATTAGGTGCGTTCTGAAACTATTATTTGAAATAATTTTGAACAGTTACAACAATAGAAATAAATTAATAACTTTTTTTTGTGGCTACTTAGAGAGTTATACCTTAACAATAAGGTATTTTACATAAATATTTCATATTGGGACGCTGTAATTTCGTTGTCTGGTACGATTTGGCCATCCTCCTTTTGTTTTCACTGAGCCGCAAGCCATGCAGTGGAAATGCTACATTTTTGCACTGTGTACACTGCAGCATTGCGCCAGCTCCAAAAGCATTCTAATAGCATATTGCATAATATATATTATATCATTTATTTATTATTTTATCATAAGGCACAAGTTGAAATTCAAAATCATTCATTAAAAAAAGGAGAATCCAATACAATTTGATCTATGCCGTCATTGTTTAATTTGATCTCTATATGCATACCTGATTGTCGTACTTTTTTCAGGTACATTGATTACAAGAAAGGTGTACAGATGTGAAAATAAAAAAATAATTAACAAAATCATGATTTTAAAAAGCAAAATTAAAATACAAAAATGTCAAATAAAAGCAGCAATGAAAATGGCGAAGACAAAAATTGTTTCCATATCTTTTTTAACTTCCTTAAATCTCATTGTAATAGGTAAAACTTTGTTTCACAGCATATATGTTCTGAATAATGTTTTAGACACTTTTTATAAAATCTTTGATTAAAGGAATTAAATAAAATCAAACAAAAGTGACTAACTTCAGTCAGTCAGTCAGTAATATCTGCAGTATCTTTGCTCTCTTGGGGTAATTAATAATGTTTTGAAAATAAAATCAAAACAAAGTTGTTACAGACAAATATTTCTTTTACATTAAATTATCAGTTCTAAAAACTTATTTGCACAAAGTCTAATACCATCTAATACACGTTGGTTAAATTTCGTACTTTACTCTTAATTTTAGGTATTTTATCAGGTTACACTGAGGTATCTTGTCAGCTTACTTATCCATCATCCAGTAGTTCATTTTCTCCCGCATCAATATCTAAGAGTAGTAATTAATTTTAAATGCTCCCATTTAGCAGTCTACTATGTCATGCGTATAAATCTTAATTATTTTGAAATAAAATTTCCCCTTTCGATAAGTGTAGGATCAAACATAGAGAATTATTTCTAGTTTTAAATTTCATAAGCATTCTTGCTGTTTTTTGTCCTATTAACTTAATTATTGCTTACTTTGGTATTAATTGTAAATTAATCATAGACAACATTTAATCATGTTTGTTATAAATCTTTTATTATATATATTTTTTTAATTACTGCCATCGTAGCATTTTTGCAAAAATCTAAAACAAATTGATAGCTTAATATGAGCTTTATCTCCTTTATCATCAAACCAAAACATGTTTATGGTTATATTTTCACTATTAACATCCTCAGTCTTCGGAACCTATGACAGTTGTATTGTAATGTAGTTTAGGAGAACACTAGCATCTCATCAAACATTAAGAAATACAAGCAATCTGCCATGTTCAAGCTTTGTTCTTTCATTTGCCTAAATATAATTAAGTTTATACCTGGTTTAATTAGTATTTATTTAAGGACATTTTTAATGTCCGTCTTGAGATGAACGTCTTGAATGTACAAAACTGTTATAAATAGCTTTCATAAGAATAAAGATGTTCAAACTTTAAACACTAGGAACAAAAATAGGCTTGTAATACCAGTTACTAGAATCCACTGAGTCAATAGTGCTTTTATGGGGGCAATGTATTATAGACTTTTACAATAAAATTGCAAAAAATTTACAAAATTTGTCAATTAACAAGTTGAAATGTTTTATTAAAGGAAAAATGTACAAAAAGTGTTATAAATAGCTTTCATAAGAATAAAGATGTTCAAACTTTAAACACTAGGAACAAACATAAGCTTGTAATACTAGTTAATAGAATCCACTGAGTCAGTAGTGCTTTATAGGGCAATGTATTTATTATACGCTTTTACAACAAAATTGCAGAAAATGTACAAAAATTGTCAATTAACAACTTGAAATGTTTTATTAAAGGAAAAATGTACAAAAAGTGTTATAAATAGCTTTCATAAGAATAAAGATGTTCAAACTTTAAACACTAGGAACAAAAATAGGCTTGTAATACCAGTTACTAGAATCCACTGAGTCAGTAGTGCTTTTATGGGGTCAATGTGTTATACGCTTTTACAACAAAATTGCAGAAAATGTACAAAATTTGTCAATTAACAACTTGAAATGTTTTATGAAAGGAAAAATGTACAAAAAGTGTTATAAATAGCTTTTATAAGAATAAAGGTGTTCAAACTTTAAACACTAGGAACAAACATAAGCTTGTAATACCAGTTACTAGAATCCACTGAGTCAGTAGTGCTTTATGGGGCAATGTATTTAAGCTTTCACAACAAAATTTCAGAAAATTTTCAAAATTTGTCAATTAACAATTTGAAATGTTTTATTAAAGGAAAAATGTACAAAAAGTGTTATTATAATATCAAAGAATACATAAAATAACTCCTGGGTATGAGGTGATCGCAATCATGCTTGTATGTACTATTAAAATTTATTTAAAAAATGATATTGTAAAGTGAAATATGTTTAAAAAAAAGTCACGCTGGGTTTCTTGTTGGTTCTTCCCAGGACAGTGGTATCGGTGGTAAATAAAACACGATTTCCAATAAGTATTATGTAATAATCTATATTTAATTTAAAAAAATGTTCTATTCTCTGTAATATAAGATATTTACTAACTAGTAGGGACATTGTATAAAGAAATCAATTGATATTGTGCAAATACTGTTAAATTTAACACATCTAATGTTATTCAATAACTAAGCAAAGAATTTTTAAACAATAAACGTTTTAAAATTAACCTGTTTTTTATTTTTTTGGTATAGGAACTTACAATTACCACGAGAAACATAAACAACTATTAATTACATTGCACCACTTGCGCAATGTAATTAGTGGTTGTATATAAAATAAAAATATTAAAGTGCAAAAAAAGGGCGAGCCCAAAGCACCAATATTTTAACGCCATCTATTAGGCAAAACAAGAACTTTAACTAAAATTAAACTTGAGTCGCACATCTATCTCTAGTATATATACAGTAATCTATGGTGGTAACCATTCTTGATTGTGTTCTTCTACTACTGCATTTTAACATTTTTGAAAACTTCGGATTATTAGTGAAAAGGAGAATATAATTACATTAAATCTATAGGAAACAGAAATGGCCTTCAGTGAAATTTGTAGAATTTGTTTAAGCATTAATGTACGCATGTGTGTACTAAAGAAGACTGGCCTCCAAAATTTATATAAAGCATTAACGAACAGTTTCGTAAGTTAAATAATACTTCTTAATATTGCAAATTGAAGTTGCGGTAATTTGTTGTTGTCGCTGGAGTAATTACATTATACATTACATTACATTATAACTTGCCTGATGCCTATCGATCAGGGCTAGGCTAAGGTGCAGCGCTAAATAAAGATACCCAAAACATATTAATACACGACTTAAGTCATTTTTTCTAAGATGTGTGTTGTTTGGGTACTGTAATAATAGTTTGTCAAAAATTTCTAGATCATAGTGTCCGTGTATTATTTTTCCATCAAGTCTCTTCATTTTCTGTGACCTTTAAAAGTTGAAGTTCAAGTGTTTTCAGACATTCCTCATATGATATGCTTTCAATGCTCCAGGAACTTTTGAATATCTGTGTTGAGCCTCTCCTGTTACTTAGTATAATTTGTGAGGCATATTCCGAATTGGGTTAAATATATGTTATATATTTTAAGAATCCTTTTTGGTATTATTGTTATATGCCATAGTTGCCACCCTAGGCTAGGCAGGTTGGCAACTGCAGTTTTTTTTTAATTATCTGACCTGTTATGTGCATAATGCTGCTGCCAATATCCTTATGTAATAAAATAATTTAATTGTTGGATGTCCAAACTTATCTGGAACTTACTTTATACTGCAGTTGATATTAAATTAAAACGGTTAAAACTGCTCAGGGCAGGGTATTGTTATTAACTCCATTTAAAATTAGTGATAGTGGCTCAATAGTTAGAATGATTGCAAACTTTAGAAAGTAGTGAGTTCAAATCTGCCATTTGACTATGGTTTAAGTTACTCCTAGTGCAAGCATTTTCAGTAAAGTTTTTGTAATATTAATAGTGATGCTAGTAGTTTAAAGTTATATGAATGTATGTTTATGTATATGTATGTGAATTTTGAAAGCCCAAACTTGAAATACCTCTGTCAGGGTCCCAAGAGTTTGGATCTACTGCTTTTAAAATGTTATCTGTTATTGTCATGCGGACTTCCTACTTCCTTGACACTCACAACATTTTAAATTAATTAGAGAATTGTGTCCATATATTAACTGCATGCAGAAAGTTTGCCGATGATATCACAACATCACTTATGGATGATTTGTAAAACCCTTCAATGTTATAAAAAAATTGTGTTGAAGAAGAGAGTTGTGGTGGCAAATATATTTTATCACAAAATTGTACATTTAAGTAGTTTTCCGTATTTATGACAAACTTTCATATTTTCAGATGGATGAAGATGAGGAGCCCATAATTGTCTGTTTCATCTGTCATGCTAGACTCATTCGATGCAGAACATTGCAACAACAAGCTATTGAGTCAAATGCAGTTCTAGAGCAGTTGCTTGCTGGAGGGTCCATGGTATTATCTATTCCATCCAATAAAACCTATAAAAGTCTGTCATAGATTGCTTCATTGGAGGGATTTTGCCAAATTTGCCACGCTTGGCAGGTTTATATTAGTCTGAGTTGTTATTAAGAGGATGCTGCTGCCCAACTCCTGTTTCTGTTTCCCTCTGTTGCCTCTTACAACACCCATCCCATGGGTAGGTATATAGGGTAGTTGATATCCTTAAACCATCACTACAAGATCCGCGGCATAATACTTTTGTTATTAATAAAAGTTTACTGCTTGATGCTTCCTTTCCATTATAATGAAAAATTTGCCTTAATCATCACTTGGCAGGCGTTTTAGTGATCACTATAATGTTGGGTTTTACCACACGCAAAATACGCGCTTAGACGTGGAGTTGCGGAAAACAGCCCGTTGTAAACTAACTAAACTAATGTTGGGTTATCTACTTGAACATCCGAGCGATACGGCGACAATAGCCTTGAATGCCCCGCACCGCTCTTCGCGGCTTTTTTAAGGTCCAATCGCGACCAGTTTGACTAAAATGGTTACCACAGAGAACATTCGCTACCTATATCAGATTAAAAGTCATACAATGAAAGCTATTGAAATGCAGGATTCAATTACGTTAATAATAATTTACCAATTGGAGTGCAACAACTAAAAAAATGATTAGTTTTAGAAATTTTGTTGAAACCCTAATATTTTTTTTATTTTCTTTGATAATATAGCAGAATCATTTTATTTCTATATATTAATTGTACAATAATTAATATAACATGATTTACCCTATACAATAATACCAATAACCTTATATAGATATTAAGTATTTCTAAGCAAAAATATCTAAAATATCGACATACTCCATTCTAGTCTATTCTTCCGGGCGGCTATGAAATGTGACAAACTGTTATTATTTTAAAAAATTTTATTTATAAGAATTTAATTTAAACTTGTATTTATTATTGTTATACTTATGAGAAATATTTTATTAAAATAAAAAATATATAATACAAAAACTTAACGAAAAACCGACACACAAAGGCAAAGTTTTCGCATGTCGACTTCATCACATATAAAAACATCATTACATACTGGATACTGTATACATATATATATATATTATTTCCATATATAATACTAGTACAAAAGTATAATAAATACATTATTATTTACATTTGAAATACAAAATTCACAGTACTACTGGCTACTACACAAAACTTGACACAACTGGATTAAACGCTTGTTTCTTTTTTTTTATGGTATTTGTTACCTATCATAAACCTTTTACTAACTGATAGATGCATTTTTAATATAGATCCAACTAATGCAAAATTCATGAAACTTTTTGTAACTTTCCATTGATAAAAATTTGTTTAGTGTAGAAGTCAGCGAGGCCGCTCTAATCGCCCTAACGTTCAACCGGAAAAAGTTTTAGGCGACTATGGTTGCCCGGGCGTTTGAGTGGTTATAAACACAAATATATACCAGCTATCACAAATCATGTGTCATACTCTACTACACATTATTTTAATACAGTAGAACGGTATAATTTATGTCTTTGTTCAAGGAGTCCCTAGTAACACCTGTTCACAAGAGTGGAGATGAGAGTGGAGTGGATATCAACAACTGCAGACCAATTTCGCTAAAAAGCTATAGATATTTAAAAGCTATAGAAAAACTCTTGACTTGAGTCTCGATTCTAATTACATTTCTAAACTCTACATTCTTATTTAAATTTATTGGGGACTTTCACTTTTGTCTGCATCTGCGGGATGGTATGGGGTAGTATGGGATCTCCTACGCCACTACTACACTACATTTTTCTCTTATTTAAAAAAGATTTTGGTTTCAGTCAATACCAAAACCACATGAGTTTAGAGATGAGATTCAATTCACATCAATCAATCATATAGATATCTGGCCAGTAGAGTGTGATATAGAAAATGATTGTAATGATGACATTTTTAGCCTTGAATCTGTTAAAGTTGAGGAAGAGAAAATCGAAAACAAGAATTTTAAAACTGAAGTAAACTGGAGTCATGAAATAGGTAAGATTTTGTGATATTATTAAATTAAGGTATAATTTACATAATGGCAAGTGGTTACTGTAGCCCATAGACACAAAATAAAGAGGACTTCATGTGCAATGTACTGATTTGCCTTTGCCTAAATTCAAAGTGCATGTAAAAAGCACTTGCGGAGAAATAAAATAACAAATTAAATAATTGTTTAAAAGATAACAATACATGGACATCATAATGAGTTAATGAGCTTTGTTAGACATTTTCTTTTACTTATGTATAAATATATTTATAAATGTTTTGATCCTGTATAAATGCAGCCAGTATGTATGTACACTAAGATATATTAACTTCATAGGAGTTAATGATATACATACAACTGGTAAGCTACGACCTTTGCCGATTTCTTAACCCAGATGGATTCCTCCATCCTCCTGTCACCTATTTCTGTCGTCAAATAGCAGTGCGTGCACTGCTGTGTGCCAGTCTGAAGAGTATAGAGTCAGTATAATCACAGGCTGTGGGGCATTGCATCTTAGTCGTCAGACGTGACAGTGCATTGTAGCTTTTTATGTTTCAAGGTAGCTGCAGGCAGTGCGCAGACTGCAGTACCCACTTACCATCAGGTGATTCGACTACATGTCATAAGGTGGACTGTTAGTTTGTTTGTCACTTCGTACTAAAATATATGGAGAAAGGGTGCTCAAGGAATGCTTATACTGGCAAGCACTCAGCTACTAAAACAAGTTGTGGTTGAACACTAACTAAATGAGGTGAATGAATCATCATCATCATTACAGCCCTTCACAAGTGAACTGCTGAACATAGGCCTCCCCCAAGGAACACCACAAAGCACGGTCCTGAGCCACCTGCTTCCATTGACTTCCTGAATATCTTACCAGGTCGTCACTCCATCTAGTGGGGGACCGCCCTACACTTCGTCTATCGGCACGAGGCTGCCAAAATTACGTCACGTTAGGAGAACCTTTCTTCTCCATCAGAAAGTGGTCGGCTTGGTCCCATAAGCTGTGTGATGGACTCTAATGATCTATTCGCTTGGAAAAAATATTAGATTTTATTTTATATATTGAGTCAGAATCTGTTTCATTCCAGATACTGGTGAAAAACAAGAAGACTTGGAGATTGATGCTTTTGAAGATCGACATGAGGATTCGGAGAATAACTTGCCACTAATTTCGTTAGGTCCAAAGAGTAAAACAGATGACGTTATAATAGGTAAAAGAATTTCTTTTAAAAAAAAATCAAAAAATGAAAAAAAAAAACAACACATTATAAATTTCTCTTGCATCATGTAGTTGATGTACTGTACATACAAAATTTTATTCTTTTATTACACATGAACAAACCAAATGATTGCTTGTGACCCAAATGAACTAAAATGATTATTTGTAGGCCATACAATTATGTTGTTTTAAGCAAGAACTGAATGCGCTGGTGGTGACCCAAGGTGTTATTAAGATAAAACAGGAAACCTGGAAGGGGATTCACTGATTTGTTGATAGGGCTATTATTATGTCTGAGAAAGTTGTTGTAAGTACATCTGCTAATCATGAGATCGTGGGTTAGGCCAAACTCAGTTGTTGGGTTTTGCTGTCAAGATATTCTCAGCAGCAGCCCGGAGCCAGCAAATTGGCAGTGTTTCAACCCTGTGCCTCGGAAAGCACGTAAAGCCGTTGTTTCTACGTCTGATCTCTCTCCAGCAAGTTGGCAGTGTTTCAACCCCGCGCCTCGGAAAGCACGTAAAGCCGTTGTTTCTACGTCTGATCTCTCCATTCGTGTTGGATTACCGTCCCATCGATTTTAGAGAAAGAGGGAATAGAGAGTGTAAAAAAGATGACTGTGACATAGGTAAAAGAACATTATCTTATAAAGTTTCTTCTTTTTTGTTTATTGATTCACCAACATTTGTATCATTCCTTACATGCTAATTAAATACAATGAACCAATAAGAACTAAAATACGTAACATATACATACATAAACACTCACGCCTGTCACCCAGAGGGGTAGACAGAGGCTACGGACTTCCATTTGGCACGATCCTGACATACCTCTTTCGCCTCCTTTACATCCATATATCTATGCATACATGCTCGTCGGTTAAGGGTACTTCTAACGTGGCCCATTTTCAAAATATCGCCAATTTGATCGATAAACTTTTTTTCTAGGGCGTCCCTTCCCGACTCTGCCATTCACATCTGCCATATAAATTTGCTTTGTCACTCTTTCCTCATTCATTCTTTCTACATGACCAAACCACCGAAGCATTCCTTTCTTAATCCTGGTCACAACATCATTTTGCATACCACATTTATCTCTTATCACGCAATTTCTCACCCTGTCATTCAGATTCAACCCTAGCATACTCCTTAAAGACCGCATTTCTACAGCATTTATTCTACTTTCGTGCTTCTTCTGCCACACCCAGCTTTCACTACCATACATTAAAGTAGGGACTAACACAGCATTATGAATTACCATACGTGCCTTTTTGACACATTCTGATTCTTCGTAATAGAGTTTAGTGCCCCATTCACTCTATTCCCTGCATTTACTCGTCGTTCTACATCCTTATCATATCTACCATCCCTGCTAAATGCACATCCCAAATACACAAACTCATCCACTTGCTCATTTAACTCTCCTTCTATTCTTATTTCACATACCGTTTTGATTTCTTCTCTTTCAAAAACCATCAGTTTCGTTTTACTTACGTTCACTTTCATTCCCTTTTCTTTTAATGCCCAGTTCATTAATGTAACCATCATTTGCAACTCAGCCGCCGATGACGCAAATATGACTTGATCATCGGCATACAAAAGGCATTTGACGGTTAACTCGCCCATTCTTAACCCACATTCTTCATCTTTCAAAGTTTGCAAACACCTGTCCATAAATAGGTTGAACAGCCAAGGGGAAGCTACACAGCCCTGTCTGACACCTTTTTGGATGCCAAACCAGTCCGAGTAGACCCCATTGATCCTGACACAAGCACTAGAGTCCCTTTTTTTACATGGGGAAATGCCTACGCATACCCGCCTCGCGGGGGCAAGGACGGGTTATGTCGGACTCGCACCGACTAAAACCCCATGGTGTTCCACCTTCGTCGCATATTGGCAGAGCCACGGGAACGCTTTCGCACACTTCCGCGGCCCTACCAGCGACTGCCGCCCCATGGCAGCACCTCCTCGGGAGAGGAATATTCCTCCCCGTTCTCCTACCCAGGTAAGGCGCACCAGAACACGTGGCGCGCCGTCCTCCACGACTTTCAATTACACCTGCGCAACGGACGCCCCCGTGTCCGATGCGCGAAGGCCATGGGGCCAGGAAAAACGAGCACTTAGAAGCACTAGCCTTCCCGACCCCAGCGGCGGATCTGGTCTATGGCTCCGCCGCCAACCAAGATTCGGCTGTGGAGGGTAGGGAGAGTGGCGCCTCGCAATACCAACACTCCTCTCCCCCCGCAGCCCCTCCACCACCGCATCAACGGTGCGGCCCCGTTTGAGTCGCGGAGGATAGGGCAAGTGGCGCATCGCCATACCAACACCTCTTTCTCCGCGACTCCACCTCGGCTGCAGCGGTAGGGGGTAAGGACACCCCTCTCGCCGCAGTCCACCAACACACATCCGAAGTGGGCTCCCCAAGCCCACTCGGAGTGGCCACCTCGGGCCAGCCATATGGGTTCCTCTTTGTTCACCGTGGTTGACCAAGCCACGGCTACTAAGCCCCCCCGCCACGACAAGGCGGGAACCCGTTCGGGGGGGAAGCACTAGAGTCCCTATAAAGAGACCTTAATGCCTGTATCAAACCAGCGATAAATCCATATGAGTTCTGTGTTTGCCATAACACATTCCTGTCCACTCTGTCATAAGCCTTTTCCAAGTCCATGAACGCACAAAAAACTTTCTGGTTTTTGGCCAAAAACTTCTCCGCAATTGCGAATGGAAAAGACTTGATCTGTACACCCCATTCCCTTTCTAAAACTAAAATGAATAAAGAACTAAAATGTACAAATAAGTACAGGCGGATACAACATGCAAATAACTTTCTCAACACTGTGTATCTATATTTCTAGGCTAAAGAAAGATTAAAAAAATGATAACGAAATACAGTACTAAAATTATATAGAAGCGGAAAGAAAAGAACATTTTTTATAGAATATTACAAATCATGGTCGCCTAAGGTGCAACGGAGATTGTTAGGAGGATCGAAAAATATATCAATTTTTTCTTCAAATTAGTCAACGATTTCACTCATTATAGCAATTGGAGAATTGGAGCAAAACACTGTTCCTCAATATGGTCTAGTCATTGTGGTAATCTTACGACCACAACGCGGATAACGAAAGGGAACGCACATACTAAATTTATTAAAAAATTCAGGAAAATCAATAACACCACTAATAATTTGGAAGCAAAAATCAAATCAAAGTTTACATGCCTTTCCTTGGCTTAATGCACCCAATCTCATTTTATTAAATGCTTCTTCTATTCTTTATAGTAATGACAGTATATATATACATTAAATTAAGGTAAATTGAAAAAAAAAAATATTAAAAATATGTTAGGTCGCTGTCCAAAGTTACCACGTAAATATATAATAAACACTGAATAAATGACACAAAGCTGCAACAACTCACAGATTTCTAGCTCACTAAATACAAAATTGTTGCCATTTTGTGGTTAGTAACATAATCCCGTCACTGTAGAAATCTTGGGATTTTTGATCAAAAGAATGTAACAAGTAGGTTGTACAGTCCCCTCTTAATGTTAACCTAACACTATCCAAAGAATTCTGAAGAGACAGAAACAGGAGAAAATCTGAGGGTCAGGACTATATGGTGATCATTGACACTTCCCAACCAAGCTATCTCAATTTTTGCTGAGTGGCGAAAGATGTGTGTGGTCTAGCGTTATCATGATGAAATACCACTATTTTGTTATTTAATTGCGGCTGTCTTTTTTTTTTCAAATTCTTTCTTGAGTTTCATTATTTGTAGAGTTACAGTAAGCTCGTGTGGTACCCAAATATCGAGCTTTTTTGTTTAGTCAGACTTTTTCAAACGGTTCAAAACTGTTTTGTGGTCAATACTCAATTCCTCGGCTACATCGTACTGCTAATATGCCGATCTTGCTCCACTTTTTCAAAGATGGCGTCGACTTTATCCGTATGTGGGCGACCCGAGCGAGCTGCATCTTTGACATCAAAATTAACGAACTGAAAACGCTTGAACCAACTTTGTGATACTCTCTTACTGCGACTGCATTAGTTCTATAAACTTCGTATATTTTTTTCGCAGTTAGAGTCGCATTTTTTCTTTTTTTTGTAATAAATCTTCAGAATGTGCAGAATTTCTTTGTTAGGTTCATTCATTTTAGCGAACAGAAAAGCAATTGGAAAATGGCGGGAAAGTGTTGTTTTACTTGTTTTAACTTCAATGTCCTCAATACGTATTGATATTAAAACCAGCCAGATACAAACAGTACAACCAAAGAGATTTTTCTTCAATTTTATACTAACAAAATACAAAGAAACATTTTCCCCGATCTATTAGAATTTATTATTGTTCTTAAAATCCTAGTCGATTGCCACCAATTACATCGAAATCGATTGATCCGTTCGAAAGCTATTTTTTTGTTCTTTGTTAAACATGCGACTTTTTATTTCTTTACTTTTCATTATTCCTCTGTGGTGCCCATCGGAGGCAAATCTCAGCCATGGTTTGGTCGCTCCTGTAAGATAGCATCATGCTTTAAGTAGGAGTGCTACCAAGCCTGGGCTGACGCATCAACCGAACTATAATTCCGCCTCCAGGTCCTTAAAAAGAGTCATTGCCAAGGCAAAGTCAGAGCACATAGGCCGAATTGGCGAAAAACTAGTTCGCCTTCCTTCTGGAACCCGTGCATTCTGGTCTCTCGCCATGGCTGTCCAGGATAATATTTGTCAGCCATCTCTTCCATCTCTGCACAGGGAGGACGACTCACTGGCCCATACCGCAAAGAAGAAAGCCGATCTGCTAGGCTCTTTCTTTGCGTCCAACTCGACTCTCGATGACGGGGGGAGTACGCCGCCGACCATCCCGCGGTGTGAGTGCTCCATGCAGGAAGTACAGTTCACACAGTGCTCGGTTCGCAAAGCACTCCTCTCCCTGGTATCCCCCCAATTGTGCTGAGGACGTGTGCTCCAGAGTTGGCACCGGACTTAACGCGTCTTTTC